TTTGGTGAATCCTTTTACCCCTCCCCCTGTACCTCTGGCCTACACCCCAATTTTTCTACACAAAAATTAAAAAAAAACTTAACTGATTATAACTAAAATATCTTAATTTTGCAAACAATCATGTGTGCAAATGGTTAAAATTCCTCCCAGAGACCTAAAAATCTGTGTAAATTAAGGGGACTTTAAGTCAAAGCTGTATTAGCTTCATGTTAAATTTATCACTGTGTTTATGTTTCATATTTCCTTCTCTAATGACTAGAATTATTTATTCTTACATCACCCATGGAAACTTGAACACTTCTTGCACATAGCAGGAACTCAATGCATATTTTTAAAATTGAACTAACTCCACATGTTTTAACATATTATTCAAATAGAATAATTCTTACCTATTACTGTACCTGGTAAGGCATTTCACCAATTCCTAATACCATCATTCACCCCAACCTCACATGTTCCTTTCACTTAATGATTAACTCAAGAAAACATATCAAGTGGACAAAAATTAATGTTTTAAAACATCTTCACTATTTCAACCTTGTCCACAAATAGTCTCTCTTTAAAATCAAATAGGATACTACTGCAAGACCCTTTTCCCCACCAAATTAGCATGAACCTTGCTGAGAAGCTTGAGTGATCATATTCTCCTTTCAAATCTCAAACAAAGCCCAATGTTCCCTATGGCAATAGATCCCTTTATTAGTATGCACACAGGCTTGCATTGTTCCTCCCAGGAAAACCTACTCCAAATTTAAGATTATTTTAAACAAGATGTGGCCAATTTTTTTTAACTTCTTTATACATCTAAAGCCAAAGATAGATAAAAAATTTTGAAATGCAAGTCTAAAATAAATTATTTTTATCAAATGGGTATTTAAGGCCTAAACCATGCAATAGTTTTAAATTCTAATACTACTGTTAATCATTCTTCATGGCATCCCCCAAAAAGAAGTACTAATCTTGTGAAAATATCTTGTAATACCTAAATTCCATCAATTACTACTGTCTAAAGGACGTGTACACCGCAAATATAGTCTAAATGCCATTTAGAGACATTGCTCACAGTCTGTTGTATATGCAGAGACTGTCTTTAATTCATAAATAATGGTATAGAAGTGAAAACTTGCATCAGCTTATGTATAATAAACTTTTAACAAACAACAAGGTTTTATTATGAATACCAGCACACAAACTAGGAAAAAATAGAAAATGTAACTTAATGACCTAAGAAGAAAATAATAAGCCCTCAAGAGTCTAAGCAAGCTATCCCTGTCATCACAGCAATGCTGTTTTAGAAAACACTGCTCATTTTTTAGATGCTAATTCGTAATTTAATCATTTTAATCTATAGAACTAATTTTTCCTTTTTCTTTAGCTCTAAATTATATCTGAATGTTAAGTGAAATTACTCATTCTTCATTGTTTGCTCCCAATATCTGTCTCATCCTTAGGGCTCCCACAACTTTCATCACTTTTCTATTTCTCTTATAATGTTTATCTAATTTTTAAATTGAAACTGAATGTGAATATTCTGGGTGTATTGATATCGTTAAAAGTAAACAAAACTAAAATCCAAAACAAGTCAAGAAAAATGTAAAGTGTAATTTCTTTCTATGGGACTAAATGAAGAAATATTGCTGCACTGCTATCACTTGCTCGTTCAACTCGACAACAGAAGGAACAGAGGTCAACGAGAAGATTCACTGGCTTGTTGATTATAGCCAGAATCCATTTCTACACACTGAATACAATTCTTGGAACCACACTATATCTGCTAGACTAGAAGGAACAATTTTGCACCCATCCCACACCTGCAGACATAAGGCCAAGTGTGGAGACTTTTGTAATGGTCACAGCTGGGGCTTCTGAGGGAGTTACTGGCATTTAGTAGGTAGAGACCGGGAATGCTGCTCAATATTCCTTGCAAGCAAAGGACAGCTCCCACAACAAAGAAGTAGTCAGCCAAGAACATCAATAGTGCCAAGGTTAAGAATCCTTGACCTAGACATCTGTCCCAATTTTGGTTACAGAACAGCTGGATTTGAGGTACCATGGTGCTGTGAAAGATTCAAGGGATTAGGGGAGGAAGAGAACTAAAATGTACTGAGTATCTGCTATTTACCAAGCCTTGTTTAATCACTTTACATATATCATCTCACTTAAACCCCCATCTTGTGAAAAAGTGATATATTCTTATTTTACAGATGAGAAGGCTACCCTTAGGGAAGTTAAAGAACTCATTCAAGGTTGCTCAGCTAAGGAGAGGAATCATGACCTGAATTCAAACCAAATCTGTTTCATTCCACAAAACTACAAGGCCTAGATGTTTAAAAGATTGCTAAAAATATACAATTACGTTAAACACCTTACAATGTAAATGAAAGTACCTCTTACAATGAATCAATTACCATTTTTACTTAAAAACAAAATTTATACAAATGTAAACACTACCAAAATAGCCAACATTTTTAAGAAGCAAGATCAAATGTTCATCTCATCCTTTCAGAATTAAAAAATAAAATTAAATGTTCAGAAGATACTGAGCCCTCCATAGAAAGGCAACTACTCTTAAATCTAGAAGGAAATCAACTGTCTAATATAAACAATGTTTTAGTATGAAAGATTTTTAATCAGTCCAGAATTGCTCAAGACTACACCCAGTCTGAGGCCCCTCCAGAGCGCAAGGAGAGCTCATAAGAGAACTGAGGAGGAATAGGATAGACTAGCCGCTGCAAGATACAACCCTATTTTCTCTGTATAGTAAATTACAAGGAGGTGGAATTGCTATCATTCATAGAAATAATACAAAAATAAAACCTTCGACATAAAATTCTGATAAAAAACAACAAATCACCACCAGAATCCATTAGTCTTTAATAAACTAACTGTAGGTCACAAATATAACTACACTCCTATGGGATTAAGTACAAAAGACTTGACAATGCAAACTGGGGCTTGTTCCCTCGGGAAATCACCACTACCAATGCTGTTTCTAAAAGCACGCTGCATACACGCTCTGCCCTTGAAATCCCGGGCCTCAAAGCACCTATTTTATAGATGTATCTTTTCATTTCATGCCAATACATTATAAGTAAATTACAATTGGAAGTACTTCCCGATAGTATTAAGTCCAAGTTTAAGAGCAATAAACATCAACTAAAAATTTTTGGAAATAAAATGCCCTCAAAACAATCACAAGATTCACTTTAAATAAAAATTCTAAAGTTTGTTTACCTAACATACACACACAAATATCCTAGTAGAACTGAAAGAACTGATCACTATAATCGAGAATGTTCTTTATTTTAATCAATTTACATAAGGACTTTCATCAAATGTCATCTTACTCCTGAATTACATTTTTCACCTTAGCATTTTGACACCTCCATCAACTTTCTAAAAGTGAGGGTGGGTTGTTTTTCCACGTTTTTAATAGACTTGCTTCTCAAACGAATAAATTAGATAAAAACTGACAGGAGAAGCCTATGATCAACCTCCTCCTCGTCGATAAATATTTGAGTAAACCCCAGCTCTAAGTCTGACGACGACGACGACGACTAAGGTTCATTTTACGTCGCTGTCAGACATTCTGTCAACGCTTCACTTCACGCGCCTACTTTTCCATCACAACAAATTTTAACAGACAGGTAAATAGTATTTTGCAACTTTTCAGTCGCTAAAACTCATCATTTAGTCTCTTCTTCCATTTCTCCCCAAACAGGATTCTCAGGGCTCCGATTTCTTTTAGATTTCCAAATCGAAGCAACATCGGTCAATTAAAAAAAAAAAAAAAAAAAAAACCCGTCCCCTCCTCCTCCCCCAAAGTGTCATTTTCCAGACAAGCGGGTGACCCGGGCCCGGCCTGCTCCGGGGACCCTTCCCGGCACCTGCCGCGGCGCAGACCCGAGCCCGGCAGCCGCGGCGCGGAGCCCGCACGCCCAGCGGGTCCCGGGAAGGGCCGCCCCGCACGGCGCCCGCACAGGCCGCGGGCCGGGAGGAGGCCGGCGGACCCGCGCCGCGCGCCCCCACCGCGGCGCGGCCTCGAGGGGCGCGGCCCGGCCGCCCGGCGCTCTCGGACGGCGCCCCCGCCCCCGGTGCCGCGGGGCCCGGCCCGGCCGACGAGACGCCGCGGCGGGCCCAGGCCGGCTCCTCGCGCCCGCCCGCGGACCCCGGGGGGGGCGCGGCGGCCTCCTCACCTGCGGCGGGGGGCGGCTCTCCCGCGTCGCCGGCCGCCAGGGTGACGGCGCCGTCCCTCCAGACGCGGACCTGCGCGGCCGAGAGCGCGCGGCGGCGGGGCGGGCGGCGGCCGGGGCCGGCGCGGCGCAGGGAGCCGCAGCACTGGTAGCACACGGCCCACGCCTGCTCCTCGTTGATGGGCTGGTTGTACAGCCGCAGGATCTCCGCCAGGCTCAGCGCGTCCCGCGGGCCCGCGGCCGCCCCGGCCCCCGGCGGCCCCTCGCCGCCCGCCGCCGCCGCCCCCCGCCCCGCGCCGCCCGCGGGGTCTCCCGGCTGAGCCATGCCGCGGTGGGTGGGCGCGCTGGGACGGCCGGCCGCGCCGCGTCGCCTCAGCTCCGGAGCATCGTCTCGCCGCCGCCGCCGCCGCCGCCGCCGCCGAGGCCGCCCCGCCCCGCCCCGCCCCGCCCCGCCCGCCGGCCGCGCGCGTCACGCGGGCACGAGCCGGGCTCCCGGACGCGCGGAGGCGCGGGGACGCGGCGGCGCTCGGGCCCGGGGTGGCGGCGCGACGGCGTTCCCGGCCCCGCCCCGCGCCCTCGGGGGTCCGCCGGCCCCGGCGCCACGGGCGTAGCCGGCGCGGCGGCCGCGGGAGTCGGGCCTTCCTCGGCCCTGGCCTCGCGGCTCCTCGGGCTCCACGCGAGCCCCGGCGGGGTCGCGGGGCGGCCGACTTTACCCCCACGCCCCGCTCGCTTCTTCCCAGCCCACCCCCGCCCCCCCGGGCCCTGCTCAGCTCCTCTTTGGTAACCATCGGCCAAACCTCCACGCACCTCGGCGTTTTATGTGTTGAGTGCTTCCCTTTTCACTCCCGCTGTAATGCAAGCCCCAGGCAGGGATCTCTGGGTTTTGCTCGCTGACCACCCCATAGACCAGAGCCTGGGCTGCAAGCATGTTGTCACTGATAGGAACGTGTTCCTTTAGACCTTTCAAAATTCCCTTGTGACGTCTTGTATGACTCCTCGCTAAGAAGATGTTTCTAGTGACCACACTCATGGCCCAGTTAACCCAGTCTGCCCATGCGAGGTGGAATTGACAGCACAGTGGCAAAACTAGCCATAGAATAATAGAAAAATACTCCCATATCTCGCTGAATATGCAGTAAAACAAATAATTCTTAGATAAATCGCTCATTGGTGAATGAATTTAATTGGCAATATTCCATTCTGAGGTTACTCTGATGAAACCTTGCAGAGAGTTGAAAGCATCGACCAGGTATGAAATTTATAGTAGGTACCAATAAATGGTTTAAGGTGGTTTTGTATGCAGTGTTAGATACCACACTCTCAATAATCGCATCTTGCAGTTGAGATTTCTGCTGTCTGCTACTAATGCTGAAGATACCAGAGTACATACAGCAAGTATGAGAAGCGAGTAAAGCGAAAGGATATAAAATGTAAAAACCTGAAAGGCACATTATTCCCTCGGCACATTATTTTATTGTAATTTAATTACAAAAATACAAAGCAACTCCTAAAGTAATATCATTCAATTGAGGGTTTATGGTGCCATTTGTAAAAATGCACAATGTGCCCCCCAAGCCCTTGACAGACTAAGATCTAATTCCTTAAATGAAATAGGTAGGATGAATGGCTATACATAAAGCCTCCTGGTTTAAATACGGACAATATTCCCAAAATTCGTTATTTTAAAAGATTGAATGCTGTGTGGCTTTTGAAAATACTGAAGGGTTTAAAATAGCTACAATGCAGGAAAACTGCAAATTGGTCTACTTCTATAGGCAACACCACCATCTTCTGGCCTTATAAAACATTGCACTTTGACAACTACAGCTAAAAATCAATTACAATATTCCTTAGCCTCCAACACACCCCACACCCTGCAAAAAGGGTTAAATGAATTAATAAACTGAGGAATCCATGAGCCAGTCACTGCTACCCCTGGCATAGAGCAGTAAATAAATCTCTGAGATAACAATGAAGGAAGGAGGGGGCTGAAAGAAAAGGAGAGATCCAAATTTTATCTCAAAGATCATCTTTTAAAAAATATGTTCCTTGGAAGAGACCTAATGGACTGTGGTTGAGGAATATAGGTGCCTTAGTGGTGGCTGTGGTGTGGTGACATGCATATGATCCCATACCTCAATATACATATACAGTGTTGTAAATCAATAAAAATATTTTTTAAAAAGATGTGTTCTTTAAAACAAATTCACAGCGGGATTTTTTTTTCTTTCCTACGTCATAGTTTTTTTTAAATAGACATTTTAAGAAGAAAAATATTATGGCATTGAATCACAGGAAGGTTATCTACAACAAAAGCGATTGATTTTCACCAAATACAAATTCATGAATATAACACGTGGTATTTAAAGTAAATGTCTTGCCCTCTGTGAGCTAATAAGGAATTAAGATGAAGTAAAGTGACAAGTAGAATGATGTTTGATGTTCCTTCTCTACGTAGAAAAATCTTCAAGATCCTATCTTCATAATAAATCTAGCCATTATATAACCTAAACAGTTGACGCTTTTCTGTACAGATGGTATAATTCTAATTTTTAAATAATTTTTAGAACCTTTGAAATTTTAAGCCCCCACCATCCATGCATCACAAGACTCTGTGTGACCGCTGACAACTTGAAGACTATCAGCAGTAGAGATAGTGATCTGTAGGATACTTCACATTTTCCCATTTCTCACTTTCAATTCAAATGCAAAGATTCAAGTATACCTTTACATACCATATACTTTTTTTCAAATTTCTGTCATTGATCTTATTTTTTCTGTGACTTAACAATTTAAAAAAATTTTATAGTTGGGCCTACCTGGTGGTGCAAGGGTTAAGCACAGCACTGTGAAGCTACCTGCAGCCTCTGCAGCACCAGTTCCATCCCTGGCCAGCCAGGGAGCTACCCACAGGGTGCAGCAGACCTCTCCTGTGTCACTGGCTGCTCCCCTCAGCAGTGTATTTCAGTCAGTCTGCCTGTTCTGTACTCTGTCTCTGGTGAATCCTCTCACCGCCCCACCCCACATCTCTGGCCTGTACCCCAGTTCTTGTATGCATAAAATAATAAAAAGAGATCTTTAAAAATTCTATATAGTAAACATGTCTTACTTCAAACTGATGTTTAAATGCCTTTTTCAAAGTGCTGTGTCATCTATGAAAAATGGCATGTGACTCTGAATATGATTTTAGTTTTCATTGATTTTTTTATTTATTAAAAAACGGAATCCTTGAAATTTTTTCTTATATTTACTAATCATCTTTGCAGAATAAATTGACTCCATGCTTCTGAGGTGAGGCTGAGCAGCTCTGTGTCTTTTAGGAACTTGGCCTTCAGGGAGCACAATCTGTCTGTACAGCTCAAGCTTATCCAAGATACTCCCAGATACTTGCTTCTAAGAGGCACATTCACCTAGAAAAGTACACCAAAAAAGAAAAAATATATAGAATAGCATATTTTTTCAGTTATAACCTAAATGTCATTGCCTGCAATTATACCTTAAAAGTCTACAGTAATATTTTATATTTTCAAAGTACTCTTTTCAGTTATAAACCTGCAAGATCTGTTTTACAGCAGACAAAACACAGGACTATTAAGTGAAAGAGGTAGGACTAAAATCCAGACTCCCTGAGGCTCAGCTCTTTCTGCCTTGTTACAATGTCTCTCTCTAAACTTGCACAGAACAGGAAAAAGCCCTCACCCTTTCTCCATGAAAAGCAGAATCTTTGTAGCTGTACATACCAGTATGATCTATTAAAATGCTGATAGCTCAAACTCTCTAAATGAATGATGTGATGCTCCATCGCTTTCAACCAACCCTGAAGAATTCGCTGGCATTGAAGTTTTACCATAGCGGTCACCTCCCGAGAGTAATTATCTTTAAAGTGACTTATATGACTCCATCTTCATTAAAGAGTTATAAATTATCACTCCTCTAAGGAAACTAATTCCATCAACAATCGTAAATGCAATTTAAAATTCATCTCTGAGATCTTTGCACAGATTGAATATTAACTAAAAATCTTAAAAATTAGTCAGAAAAGCTAGCATGTGACCTTACACACAGAATTAGAGGTACATGGGCCAGATAAGAATGCAGCAAAGCTGGATTCCTCTGGTTTGTTAACTTATAAAGAATTAACTTTTTCTTTCCAAAGGCAGATCTATGTTTATTGGAAAACATTTAGAAAATATCCATTAATGAATTTTTACTGTTATATGTAAACCCATTTTCCATAAAATTTTCATTATGTAACATCTAATATGTTAGAAATTTACCAATCCTACCTTCTTACACACCCACTGATAAAAATTAAGGGCAAGTGTAGAAATAACTAGGCCAAACAATAGTCATCTTTCACCTTCTTAAGCTAACTCCTTTGAAACAGTTAAGCCAACAAAGAGAGGTCATATTCTGACTGCTAATATAAATGGAACTATTAGTTTCAATTATTTAAGAAGATTCAATTTGTACAAAATCTCATATATTTAAACTTAGGCCAAGCTACTATTTTATACTTAAAGAAATTAGATTCTACAGAAGTTAAGTGACTTACCCCCAAATTACTGGCAGTTGCCTAGAGTAATTCAAATATATTTCCTTTAACATAAACTTCTCAGATCCTCTTTTTAAGTCATACTAACTAGTTCTCACCAGATTTCAAGTTAGCTTACTTAATTCTAATGAGAAATAGAAAACAAAATAAGGCACAACAATACCTTTGAGAGCAAAAGTTTGAATTTTGATAATAATTGCTTAAAAATGAAGAATTCACAATAAAAGTTTTCAGAAACATTTAAGATTTTTGTTGCATAAATTTAAAAAACAACCCATTTTTTACATTGAAATATTTTGTTTAAACAAATATTTGTTTAAACAAATTTTGTTAAAACAAAATTATTTTCTCAAACCTACATTATTTCATTTTCCCTGACCTTTATACAAAAAAGATAGCCCTTTCTTGTTGCTCAAAAAAGGTTGCCTTAGAAATATGACTACAGAATTGAGACTATTAGAGAAGGAGGGTCGGTAGGGGTCGGAATAAAAGGACCAGGTAGCTTTGGTGAAGGACATGGATCCTTGTTTGTGTGGTGTAGTTGCTAGGGGGAAAGGATGTTCCAAACGAACTCCATAAAGGCTTTGTGGATACCACCCCCACTCCATCAAGACACTGGGAACAAATCCCATGGTCTCCAAAGAGAGGTTATCAAGACTTGAGGGCTGAGTTAAGCAGCCATTTTCTCTGGCTTCTGTTTATAACCAGCTATGTTAGCGGGGTCTCACTCTCTTGGTTCATGCACTTGGCTAGGCAGTGTTTGGTCTCGGCAGGTCATTTTGGATTCCAGGTCAGCGGAATGGGTAAGGCACATTTAAAAATTTATCTCCCTCTTTTCTCCTTGAGTTGTACATTTCCTCATTTCCCCTTCCCTTTTAAATAAGCCTTTTGTTAACCTTTTGTGTGTGCCTGCAGTTTAAGTCCCTTTTAAACGTGCAGGTGAGGACCCACAGTCAGGCAACACATTTTATATGGGAGTTGGCCTGTAACATGGTGGCATATACATCTGGTATCTGGGGAGAAGTAACCCTATTCCCCTGAATCATATACAGTGTTGTAAACCAATGTTACTTCAATTAAATAAATTAACAAACAAACGTCTTGAGCATCCAGGTTGGTGAATACCTGGAGGTACTGGTAGAATGGGGCCTCTGGAGAGAGCATGGAAGCTTCAGGGCGTTTCCCCATGTCAGCCCCATGCACCTCTTCCATCTGGCTGTTTCTGAGATATCCTTTCATGATAAATGGTAATCTATTCTGGATACTGAGAAGTCCAAGATAGAGATGCCAATAGATGTGGTGTCTGTCTTATAGTAGAATAAAGGGAACTCAAAAATTTATTTAATTTTTTAAGTAGTGGGGTACAAGCCAGAGTCATGAGGGGGTGA